CACACAGTGGTGGTAGTCACATAATACTCACACAGTGGGTGGTAGTCACATAATACTCACACAGTGGTTGGTAGTCACATAATACTCACACAGTGGGTGGTAGTCACATAATACTCACACAGTGGTTGGTAGTCACATAATACTCACACAGTGGGTGGTAGTCACATAATACTCACACAGTGGTTGGTAGTCACATAATACTCACACAGTGGGTGGTAGTCACATAATACTCACACAGTGGTTGGTAGTCACATAATACTCACACAGTGGTTGGTAGTCACATAATACTCACACAGTGGTTGGTAGTCACATAATACTCACACAGTGGTTGGTAGTCACATAATACTCACACAGTGGGTGGTAGTCACATAATACTCACACAGTGGGTGGTAGTCACATAATACTCACACAGTGGTTGGTAGTCACATAATACTCACACAGTGGTTGGTAGTCACATAATACTCACACAGTGGTTGGTAGTCACATAATACTCACACAGTGGTTGGTAGTCACATAATACTCACACAGTGGGTGGTAGTCACATAATACTCACACAGTGGGTGGTAGTCACATAATACTCACACAGTGGGTAGAAAAGTTTGTTTGTATTAGATAATATTTTCAAATTAGATATCACAAAGTTAGACATTAAACTTGATACATCATAATTCAGACATGACAAATGTAACCTGACAAATTATGCCTCACAAATTAGACGTGACATCAGTTAAATAAGTCATCTTCTTTATGCACAGGCAGACATAAGTACAATTATCAAGAGTAAATTACCTGGGATAACCCAAAAAAAGTCAAGGTGACTTATTTCTATTGGCGTCCTTGATGTCAAACTAGTGAAGTCACGTTACTGAACAGTGACTTTCAGCCTTCACGTTGTAGCAGTGTGTTCACTCTTATCTGAAGATAAGACATCGATAGTGATTCTGTTACATGTACCTATTAATGTGATCTAATTCTCTTTTTAATGTTAATGTAAATAACTCAGCTTACCTTATTCCTAGTATATTTCCTTTTATTGTAACTAATTTTCACATATTTGAGTTAATTACCTGTTTTAACTTTTAAGGTTTAAATAAAATATTACAAGGACCCTAATTTAAATAAGTCACTTTATCCGACTTTCTCGGGTTATCGTAGGTAAATTACACATGCTGTTATGTATGATAATTTATGTAACTGTATGTATGTGTACCTATCACTGAATAAACTTACTTGCCCTGTTACCCAGCCATGACACTGATGCTCAGTACTGTGTACACTGACTGCTTGCTCTCGTCAGAAGTCTGCTCGCGCAGGTTAGAGCTTCTTCTAGCATGAGACAAAATGTTATATAAGTCGTAATAAACGACTTTCAGTAAACAGACATAAAGATGGAGGAGAGTGATAGAGAAATGGAACTGTCAATTTTGGGACTAGAACATTCAAACCTCTCGCCCATCACACACACACTGACGAAGAAACGTCATAACAAATGTATGGGACTAGATTACGTTCTTTTTTTTCATGGAGTTGAGGTAACCAAGATGGAGGGCAGACTTACTGATGAGATCCTCGAGGAAGTGATGTCCTTTTCTCGTGAATATACGCACATCATTTTCCCAGAGAGGATGATATTTATGCAAGATAACTGCCGTATATACATACAAGGCCAGAGTGCTGAACCGCTGGTTTCAGGAACAACGTATAATCGACTTTATTGAAAGGCCAAGTAATGGTTATTTGAATTCCATGCAAAATTATGTAGACGAATATTGTTAATGTATGAGAGGTCGCATCTGTGTCACAACGACTCCAGAGCGTGATAGACTTTATTGGTGTCAGGACCCGGGTGACAGACTTTATTGGTGTCAGGACCCGGGTGACAGACTTTATTGGTGTCAGGACCCGGGTGATAGACTTTATTGGTGTCAGGACCCGGGTGACAGACTTTATTGGTGTCAGGACCCGGGTGATAGACTTTATTGGTGTCAGGACCCGGGTGACAGACTTTATTGGTGTCAGGACCCGGGTGATAGACTTTATTGGTGTCAGGACCCGCGTGATAGACTTTATTGGTGTCAGGACCCGCGTGATAGACTTTATTGGTGTCAGGACCCGCGTGATAGATTTTATTGGTGTCAGGACCCGCGTGATAGACTTTATTGGTGTCAGGACCCGCGTGATAGACTTTATTGGTGTCAGGACCCGCGAGATAGACTTTATTGGTGTCAGGACCCGCGAGATAGACTTTATTGGTGTCAGGACCCGCGTGATAGACTTTATTGGTGTCAGGACCCGCGTGATAGACTTTATTGGTGTCAGGACCCGCGTGATAGACTTTATTGGTGTCAGGACCCGCGTGATAGACTTTATTGGTGTCAGGACCCGCGTGATAGACTTTATTGGTGTCAGGACCCGCGTGATAGACTTTATTGGTGTCAGGACCCGCGTGATAGACTTTATTGGTGTCAGGACCCGCGTGATAGACTTTATTGGTGTCAGGACCCGCGTGATAGACTTTATTGGTGTCAGGACCCGCGTGATAGACTTTATTGGTGTCAGGACCCGCGTGATAGACTTTATTGGTGTCAGGACCCGCGTGATAGACTTTATTGGTGTCAGGACCCGGTGATAGACTTTATTGGTGTCAGGACCCGCGTGATAGACTTTATTGGTGTCAGGACCCGCGTGATAGACTTTATTGGTGTCAGGACCCGCGTGATAGACTTTATTGGTGTCAGGACCCGCGTGATAGATTTTATTGGTGTCAGGACCCGCGTGATAGACTTTATTGGTGTCAGGACCCGCGTGATAGACTTTATTGGTGTCAGGACCCGCGTGATAGACTTTATTGGTGTCAGGACCCGCGTGATAGACTTTATTGGTGTCAGGACCCGCGTGATAGACTTTATTGGTGTCAGGACCCGCGTGATAGACTTTATTGGTGTCAGGACCCGCGTGATAGACTTTATTGGTGTCAGGACCCGCGTGATAGACTTTATTGGTGTCAGGACCCGCGTGATAGACTTTATTGGTGTCAGGACCCGCGTGATAGACTTTATTGGTGTCAGGACCCGCGTGATAGATTTTATTGGTGTCAGGACCCGCGTGATAGACTTTATTGGTGTCAGGACCCGCGTGATAGACTTTATTGGTGTCAGGACCCGCGTGATAGACTTTATTGGTGTCAGGACCCGCGTGATAGACTTTATTGGTGTCAGGACCCGCGTGATAGACTTTATTGGTGTCAGGACCCGCGTGATAGACTTTATTGGTGTCAGGACCCGCGTGATAGACTTTATTGGTGTCAGGACCCGCGTGATAGACTTTATTGGTGTCAGGACCCGCGTGATAGACTTTATTGGTGTCAGGACCCGCGTGATAGACTTTATTGGTGTCAGGACCCGCGTGATAGACTTTATTGGTGTCAGGACCCGCGTGATAGACTTTATTGGTGTCAGGACCCGCGTGATAGACTTTATTGGTGTCAGGACCCGCGTGATAGACTTTATTGGTGTCAGGACCCGCGTGATAGACTTTATTGGTGTCAGGACCCGGTGATAGACTTTATTGGTGTCAGGACCCGCGTGATAGACTTTATTGGTGTCAGGACCCGCGTGATAGACTTTATTGGTGTCAGGACCCGCGTGATAGACTTTATTGGTGTCAGGACCCGCGTGATAGACTTTATTGGTGTCAGGACCCGCGTGATAGACTTTATTGGTGTCAGGACCCGCGTCTTACATGTACTTACGTCAAGTGATTTAAACCTTCAACACAGACGAAGTAATCCTATAAGCTACTCAAGGGACTGAACACTTTATATAAAGGCTGAGGGACTGAACAACTATCAAGGCTGAGGGACTGAACACTTTATATAAAGGCTGAGGGACTGAACAACTATCAAGGCTGAGGGACTGAACACTTTATATAAAGGCTGAGGGACTGAACAACTATCAAGGCCGAGGGACTGAACAACTATCAAGGCCGAGGGACTGAACAACTATCAAGGCTGAGGGAGTGAACACTTTATATAAAGGCTGAGGGACTGAACAACTATCAAGGCCGAGGGACTGAACAACTATCAAGGCCAAGGGACTGAACAACTATCAAGGCCGAGGGACTGAACAACTATCAAGGCCGAGGGACTGAACAACTATCAAGGCTGAGGGACTGAACACTTTATATAAAGGCTGAGGGACTGAACAACTATCAAGGCCGAGGGACTGAACAACTATCAAGGCTGAGGGACTGAACACTTTATATAAAGGCTGAGGGACTGAACAACTATCAAGGCCGAGGGACTGAACAACTATCAAGGCCGAGGGACTGAACAACTATCAAGGCTGAGGGACTGAACACTTATATAAGGCTGAGGGACTGAACAACTATCAAGGCCGAGGGACTGAACAAC